ACTTAATATTTTATATATACGCAAACCTGAAGATTTTGATCATAAATGACACAAAGGTTTGGACATCTATCATTGAAAATCTCCAAGCTTAAGCAATAATTTTATGGCTAAAATATTCAATTAGACGTTTTTAAAAATTGGCTCAAATCGAGCCGTTTAAAACTCATATCAGGGACTTTCCTGGGTCTTAATTTTTTGACCAAGCCCGGCCAAGGCCCGCAATAAAAATTTTTTAGGCCCAGGCCCGGTCCTGCCTGACCCATATCTAATATTAAAAAAAATTCCCAAGCCCATAATAAGTTTTAAAAAAATTTCACACGCCCAACCCAAACCAATATCCAACCATATAATTGTATTTAGGTAATAAATTTTGTTTACAATACTGAAATTTAGCAACTGTTTTAAATAAGCTAAATTTAATTTAATAATTTTAGTCCCATCCAGCCCAAGCCCATTAAAAAAAATTATAAAAACACAGGCCCGCTAGAAAATATGATATTAGCTGCGGATGGTCTCTGACTCATATCACTCTCAATTTTTTATTTGATTGAATTTTTTAAAAAATGTCTCGAATTACTAAGTCAATTTAAAAACAAAAAGAAACAAAGTTGAATGGTTATCGTAAATATATTAAGTCCCTCGTGTGTATACATGTATAATTAATTTTATTTAAGTTTATGCCCAATTTATTGTAAGAGCGACTATAGTTATGGTTAAAAGACGCCATGATCACAGCTGTTATATTAATCATTATGATTTATTTTGCCATTTAAAACTTAGAGAGATTTCCCGGTTAATATAAATGAGACCGTTTTAGCTCTAAACGTGAAAAAAAACGAGAAAATTAAAATTTTATTGTATAACCTTTGAATTTATAACAAATAGAACACACCTTATTCTAGATCTTCACACCTTTAAAAAAAAATTTTAATTTATTAACTTTTGAAACTTTATCGAAAAATAAGAAACAATTTTTACTTTATTTTTTAGTATAAAAAAATAAAAAGATGTCCAAAATATATTTCTAGAAAATTTTTAAAAATTTCAAAAAATTTAACATACGATTTCATTATTTCGAATTTCTATATAAAATTTTGGCCGCAACTTAAAAGAAAAATTTATCGACAAAAAAATCAAATACCATGAACCTTTGTTATTTAATTATTTCTGCATCTATATTTCATTCCACGAAGGCTCAATGCATATATGACCAAAAAGGGAATGGCGTTTGTGGAGATTTAAGCAATATCATGACGGTTAAGATTTTTGTAGATAACTATACTAGTTCTCTCAACTATTTATATTTGATAGGGGCTAATATGAGCCATTTGGACGAAGACTTGATGGTAACAACGAACATGACTAAATTGGTGTTTAACAGGGTTAGACTTTTACTTATCCACCCTAAAGCGTTAGCCAAATGCCCGAGATTGCACCAACTAGAATTTATAAACTCGCTAGCAATAAATATGCCCATGGATTTTTTGATATTTGCCAGCCCAGTTTTAAAGATTTTAGTACTCAGACACAACAATATAATCTCGTTTTACTTTGGCTCTTCCTCCGGTCATCTCGTTAATACTCAAGTTTTCACCGGAATTGAGATTCTCGATTTGAGAGACAACGATTTGAGAACACTCAAAGTCGACTTGATATCCACTTTTCCCTCAATGAAATCTTTCAAATTATCTGGTAATCCGTTGGTATGCCCTTGCAATGATGTAAACAGCCCTCGTCTTAACATAATCAAATGGATTTCGAACATGGAATATATAGATCCTAGCGGTTTATGCATACATATTATTATTTATTTTTTTATTCCGTCACGATTATGAATGTTATCACTCATTCCAAAGAAAAGGTATACATTCATAATTAATAAATAGAATACGCCATATGTATAGTAACTAGTAATCAATATTTTTATAAATATGGGAACAAATAAATGATCATGCCCTAGCCTTTGATTCTGATTATGTTCATTAAAAATTAAAAAAAAATACATGTTTATTAAAATAACTTTAAAAAAAAAGTAAAGGCAGATTTAGCCATGGTTACCTGTAGGAGTCCACAATGTGGAAATCGGACTTACCCAATGTTGACAAGTTCATTAGACGTCTGTCCTCACACCTTGCGCTTGGATATTATGAGCGAACATTCATTCAATCATGTGTACATCATATTTTCTTTGCTGCTTTGTTTAGTGGCTATTAAAATAGTCTACACTTTGATGAGAGCTCTTAGTAAGTTAACCTTTATTCTTTCTTTCTCCCGTTTTACTCGCATTTTTATTTCTACATGCAAATTTCAACAAAGGAAAGGGCCATTCGAAATGGCTTCGTTATTTATATTAATAAACGAGTTAGTACATTAGTTAAGAGAACAATATCGCGCTATTTCTGGGTTTACGCTGCATTTATAGTAAACGCGTTATCTTCAAGCATTACATTATTTAACGCAGCCATATCACAGCTGATTTAGTTTTAAAAATTAATTTAAGATAAAACGAAAATAAATCGCTATTATTTTTATAATCGTATTGCATATTTTATTATCAACGCATCGCAACATATGTTTTTCAAATTTTATCATAACGTTATCATCATAATGTTCCATATTTATAAATTTATACCTATTTATTGGCTTTATTTTATAATAACGTAACGCTTGAACAAAACACGTTTACTAAAAATGTATCCTTACTATAAATGAGGCCATTACATTCTTTTTAAAGAAAAATATTTATAAAGGATGAGTCTTATTATCTTACACTCTGTTTTATTAATTTCAAAAAATATAAATATATTTTAGTTTATCTTTTATCTTTTGTTATATTTGATATGCTAAAATTCCAGGAACAAGTAGACATAATTCCGAAATAAAATTTCGAGATATAGAGGAAAAGTACAGGGCATCTTTAGCTTCTGATAAAGATCTTCAGAAAGAGGGAATATAAATGTGAATTGGAACCACGAAAAACCAATTAGAATCAGAGTTTAATACTATATATATTTTATTTATTGATCCCATTATTTTAAATTGTCATGAGAAAAAGTATAATAATTTTTTTGTGTTATATAACTGTTTATATGATAACTATTTAAAATCATTTTTCAGAGTATAGATAAAAAAAGATATTACGTTTACAGTTGACATATTAGTAATATTGAATGTTAAGTTAACAAAATGTAAAATTGTCTTTTAAATGAAGAGTTTTTTTTTAAAAAATTACATTTTAAAAGTTGTTAAATTATTTCTAGGCAAGTCCCACATTATTATACATAGGAAAAACAATTGATAATCAAATTATTTTCAGGTACATTTATACCTAGATATCAATTTTGTAATTATAACCCTGTTTCAAATTTGTTAATCTTGATATAAATATACCTATCATTAAAATAAGACTATTATGATAAAAAGATTACATTTTCTATCCCCTCCCCCTTCAGATCCTAAATACGCCACTGGCAAGTTTTATCATGTTTTATTCCATATAATCATATTATTTTGAATAATAAAAAATCTAATTTTTATAAAGTTTTAATTTAAACATAAATTTTGGCATTCAAATTAGTCTAGAATAAATAAATATTGGATTTTCAATAGCATTATTAATTATCTTATTCATATTATTGGTTTTTTTAAAACTTAATATCTCTTAATAGTCAACAAAACAGACCAAATTGCCATTAGGCTGTGTCCTGATTAGAACTCATTTTGGTATTTAATGCTGTTTAAGTTAAACAACCTTTGAATGAGGACATCCTACTTTGGTTTGTTTAGTGTTGTGGCATCGTACTCTTTCCTGCTTTCTTTCTTTTCTTGTTTTTTTTTCTCGTTTTATGTTTTTATTTTAGTTATTTAAAAATTTTTTTCCTTTTGACACGGCCCCAGACTATTCGAATTTTAAGCCAGATAAGAATAGGAACTCTCTTACAGATCTAATTTTAGAGGTTTAAATTTAATATTTATCTTCCTTTTTAAAATATGTGATACACTCCTTGTTAAATTTTATAATATTTTATAAAAGGAGGATATTTACTTGAGTTAAAATTGTATTCAGTATTATAACCTTGCTTTACAATGAACCCTGTGATATAATAAAAACTTATTACTGCGATTTAAATTTTAAAAAGTCTGGATAAATGTTCAAATTTCCCTATAATATTGAGGAATTATTAAGATGTTGCAAATTATTATTAGATTTGTAATACATTTTATAAAAAAGAATACTAATTATTGTGAAGATTATTAAATATAATAGAGGTGTGCAATGGGCGGATTTTTAGCTTAATAGGCGGGTATGGACGTGTTCTCTAAAATATTTCAAACAGCAGGCGGGGGGGGGTGGGTGGGTTAATAAATATATTTAAAACAACGGGCCGGTAAAATTTTAAATATTTTTCAAGCGAAATAAGGAGAACAGACTTCTATTTATCAAAAATTCTTTTTTTTTATTTCATTACATAGCATAATTTATAAGTTTAAGTAATAAATATACAATAAAACAAAAAATAAATAAAGAGCTAAACCAACCATTAAAATTATTTTTAAACATTGAGCAGACTAAAACAAAATTTTTAATGGTGGGGGTTCTTAAAGCAACTCACTATAGAAATAAATGAAAATTCCCTTCATCCTCCCATCCACCGCAAAAAATTAGGTAAAATTGTGAAGATGATTGATGACCTCTGTATTCACTGGTAGCAATTTTACTTATATGATTGTATTCTTATTTTTATTTCCCACACGAAGCTAATCTTTGAACTTATATATTATAGGATAATGTATATCGATCGATTCGAACTTTAAAAAAAATGATCAATTTCGAATAATTGTATTTAAAGGAACAACATTACAAAATAATCGTATATTATATAACCTAATCTTAAAGTTCTATTAAAAGAAGCATTATGCTATTGTTTAGAGATCATAATTTAAAAAAATTGTTTTAAATGCAAATATTATTATTATTATTTTCAGGACCTTGAGCTACTCTAGCGCCTTTGAAAATCACGGATTACCACGTAATTCATCAAAAATTCCGACATGCAAAAACTTATGAACACAAGTAAAAAAGTTAGAGTAAACACTTGAATAGCATATATTGTTTTCAGCCTATCCTTGACCGTTCTTTTAATGTAAGTTGTCCTGCTCTCGTCTATATCTGATCTAGCTCTATCAGCCTTCCTGTACACTTTCTTCAGCATATCTCGGTGTAATCTAACCGTTTCCAATTCTCGGTCAGCAGTCACTAAATTTCTTTTAAGGACTTCTGGGTCCTTCTCTCGCAGCATATGATCGGATATGGATGAAGACAGGATAGGCGATCCGGGGTAATCCATGATATATTCTTTATGCTCATCTTTTTGTTCTCTCTTTATTCCTTTCTTTTTAGAGAGTTTATCACGGGATGATGAAGCACCAGAGCCAGGTTTCAATATCACTTTCAAAATTTGATCGAAATGGCTTTCATCTCTTATTTCGTTCTTGTTTCCAGTTTGGAAAGCCGTGACTTGAATGCGATGGGATTCTTCATCTTCCCATCTATATTCGAAGGGTAATAACTCAACCACTACATCCACTTTATTAGAGGTAGATATTTCACCCTCAGAGGGGTGAATGGAGTATTTTTCTGGATCTGTAGAAGTTATTTTAAATTTGATGGGCATGGGTGATATATTCTGGATATTAACATATTTCTTTCGGGGTTGATCGAATGGTCCTTGAAAAGAAAGAGTCCTGTCGGGTGAAATTGATATCCAGTTGTTCATAGCTATAACTAAAAGTTTTAATAAGATGTAATAAAAAATATTTCGTGAAAAATATTTATGTGCGCAAAAATTATCCGGCCTGTGAGAACTTGTTTTAAAGGTTTAATGATTTATTAAATCCCGACACTATATTTACTAAAATTGTAGATAGAGTTTGATTAAACATTTTTTTTAAAAAAAGATTCATATCTTAGACAGAGAAATAATAAATAATATCACAATTGGTAATGTTATATTTACTATGTTTGCGTAATACGTTGTTAATCACGTTATAGATCTTCTGATTGAATATTTATATGCTAAAAATATTATATTAATCTTGTTGATCTTATCTCTAAACTAATTTAACTTATGAATTAATTCCATCGATTCTTTTTAAATATACCACCTATTTAAAAAATGAATTTTATTATTGTCATATTGTCATATTGATTAAGTTATTATAGTATATTTCATAATAAATTATTTAATGGGGTATTATTATAAAACTGATTTCAAAATTGAATAATTTGACAATTTATTTCTAAGTGCCATTTAGAATTTAGGGAATTTTAAACTAAAGTCTCAAACTGTTCCTATCAATGTCAATAATTTAAAAATATAACATTTTTACAATAATTTTAGCAATGGCGATAAACAAAAGCTAGCAGATGATGCTGCGGTCTCGTGGAAAATTTTTTCAAGCTCTCATTTTTATCTGTGGTTTCTATGGGTAATTGCTATATTTTTAGCTGGTTAAAAGGCTAAACCGAGTTTTACGTTGAAGTTATCACTTTGGCCTCGAGGTATTTAACAAAACGATAGCAGCTTAAATTTGAAAGAAACTAATACAAATTAAAACGCCTTAATGTCAACAGATTTTCTCCAGCATGTGCATGTAGATTGAGCTAGGCTTTGGTCATCAACTGTAGTAACTTCACCCCCATACCACCTATATGCCAGCTAGCCTGCCTTTAATACTTTATTTCTATTATTCATGGTATTTTATTTTTATTTTTGGGCAAAACATGTCTAAAGGGTAACTAAATTTTTTTTTATTATTATGATATGATAATATATTTTATTATAAAAATTTCACATTTAATCACGCTCATTGCACAGTAGATAAAAATAGATTATAACAATCGCGCATATAAAATAAAATATATATTCCAAATTATAAGATCCTATAAATTCCACATATAAAATTATTACTTATATTACACTATAAATTCAGTTATTGTTTAAAAAAATAAAATTGAAGTAGTCTACGATCCATAATTAGAAATCAATATGCAACTTAAATATTCAATAATCTAATAAATATTTATTCGTTACATATCTACCTTCTCCCGTTCCATTAGATCCTTTATTTTATTTTGCAAATTTAATTAATAGACAAAACAAGAGACGAAAAGGATGTTTTATTTGAAAGATTATCATTTACAATCCTCAAAATTATAATCTTTGATTGTTATGATTCGACAATAAGAACCATCTATATTTTATTATATTGCTAAAATTTTATCGCATTTTTTTATTTTAATTTATTCTTATATTTAAGTGACTGAAAGCTTTTTGTAACCTTTATATGTTTCTAAATAAAGGTAACATAACTATTATCTTTGGTATATGAATTTCATGGACATATTAAGCATTGTTTACACATGTTATTGCACCTAGCTGAAATCATTAGTATCTTGTGTTATTTCCTTTTCATTTATCAGATTACTCAAGACCATAAATCATATCAGTATATACATTTAATCCGACTTTTAAATCTTTGTGTGTATGGGCAAATGAAAACAATTAATGTCGTAATTTCTCAATGAATACTTTTTCTAATTGCGAAATTTTTAAAGTACCTTCTGATATTTATTTTATTTATATACCTCGGATCAAATAATTCACATTTTATAAGCTCTTCGCCGAAATCCGTTCGGTCAAACTATTTATGATTTGATAAATTATAGCACATAGCGATTTGCATTCTATGCTGTACACAGTGACTTCATTCTTTAGAATCCCAGGAGGCTCAAATTTTTTTATACTATTACCACTTTTTTTAGTGGTTTTTTAAAAAAAAATTAATTTTCAGGGAGCTCTTAAAATTATTCCAGTGACTCGAAACCTTAGGCCACCCCCCCCCCCTCTTATCTACTGGCCGTGCATTTTCCTTGTTCGGTTTATTCCCTTTTTTAAAGTATATCCTTTCGTTCCCAGATGCTATCTGGCAGCTTGTAATGTATTTAAATAAATTGATTTTTTATATTCGCTTAAAAGATACAATTTATAAAAATAAATATATATATAGCTGATATTAAATCATTTTGTAACTTTACAATTTTACAATAAATTAAACTAAACATTTCACAGCTTAAATCTGGAATATTTTTATTCAAATTAGTAATAATTTTTATAGCTTTATATATATAGGAAAGTTATAAAAGATACAGAAGACTTTTTATCCTCACCTATTTTCCAAGTTGATGAATATCTATTTTCTTAATTAGAAAAGATTTCCAAAATAATTGTTGCTGATTTAACATTACACAAATTCGCAATCAAAGATTTAGCTACTAATGAGGTTTTCGCTACAAGCGAATAATTATATAATGTAGCGCACTTGTAAATGGCTAAATGTCGGCCAATTCCGTTCAATCTAGAGGTGCCTGTAGGAGAAAATTTGTTAATATTAAGACGTTTTAATTTGTGTATATTAGTTACTTCCTAATTTAAGCTACTGATGGTTTTCGGTTAAAACCTGGCTAAAACCTTGGTATAGCTTTTTTAGCCGGCTAAAAATTATAATAAACGGCTAAAAATATAGTATTTGATTCTCCAAGAAGCTTATATCTTTGTCGTGTTTTGATAGGGTATAATGATATTATTATTAATAATAATATATTATTTTTAATAGAATATAGGAGAATTTATTCATCTCCCCTTTTTATATTAAATTCTTAATTTTAGCGCCAAAAGGAGTATTATTAAACAGTTGTATTTGACAACAAAGATATTAGATAATCTCTTCTCTTTTCAATTTATTGGAAAGCTTCAGATTTCCTTTTATAGGTTTAAATAGCCTTCTCTATAAGTGATCTCTGAGTTGTTTTATCATTTTTTGAATATCAGCTCAAGGAAATTCCAATAATTCAAATTTTCAAAATTGTCAGGTGTTTCATTTGTGGTGTCTGATTCTCTATGAGATAAGTTTTACATATTTAAAACCTGTATTATCTCAAATATTGATTGTTAAACATGGATAATTATTTTATTATACTGGTTGTTATATAGCGCAAATTTTTATATGTCGCATTCATTTAATTAACACAATTTATATTAACTTCACTTAATAGTTTCATTTAAATAATTTAATAGATTTTATTTATTAAAGAATAAATTCATTGTATTTTTTGGTTAAAATATTATATATATATTTTTATAAATAAAATTTTAATTTTTTTAGTTAAATCTTGTCTAACTCCCTGCCAACCTTAACATTGATATTATTGTGAATCCATCAATTCTTTTCATTCATTATTTTAAACCAATAATTCTAATTTATTAATGAATTATAAAATAATGTATAAAAATGTAAATTAATTCAGAATGGCTTTAATTTAAACTGAATCGCTTTTTTTTGAAAAAATATGGCACATAAAATAGCAATGTCTAAATGATAACATCTATACTAAATTTAAAAAAAAAATATATGAAAATGATAAGAGAAAATTTATATTTAGGATTTTAAAAATAATTATATTTTTTTCTTCTCATCTATGGCTCAAAAAATCGACATTATACTATTCCCTTTTATGATCCTCTTTTATTTGGTACTGCTAGTTTGAGAATATGCTATTATAATATGGATATAAATGGTATACTAATAAATATAAAAAAATATTCGCTAGAGCATAGATATTAGCACTTCTTTCTAAATACCAAAACCTCTAACTCGATTCAAAACAGATTAGTTGAGAATTAAATATTTCCTGGAGTAGAAAATATAAATAACAACTTTTTATTATGCCCAGAAGTTTTAGAACTATTTTACAAAATAAATGCCTATAAATTTGATGAAATCCTATTAATTAAAAAATTGACTAAGAAAGAATGGCATTGCAAACCTATTGCTAGAACTTAAGATTTTAGAACTCCTCTCTAATGCCAAAACATTCAGCTAGGCTAGCATAGTGTTAGAAATTATTATTTATTTTTTTGTAGAGAATAAACAATCTGCAATAGGGCTAGTTATTTTTTTCAATCTTTTTTTTTAAAAATTTAGAATTTTGTTTTTGAAAGTATTAACTTTTTTATTTATGTGATAAAGATATAAACAAACAGCGCGTATTGTTATTTAACGTTTTAAATTTATAGTATATAACAAAACAGTATTCCAGAAGATTATTTTTGTTGTATTAATTAACGTCTTAATTTTAAATTAAAATAAAATTACCAACATGCGCGCATCGACAGGGGCGGACTGGCCATACGATCATGTGGGCAATTTGCCCACGAGGCAGCGAGAAAATGTCAATTTTTGAGGCCGATCAGAGGAAAATATCATAAAAGAGGCCGATTAGAAGAAAAATATATTATTATGTTCACATTATTTTCTCTTATCAATTATATATTTTTAATGATATCTCTATGATGAATATCACATTCCTTGACAAATGTCATATCGTTTATTATAATTTAATGTATAAAATATCAGTAACGTCGCTTGACGCTATACATCATTGCCACGTTCTTTTCTTTGTTTTTTTTTTCAAATGAAGTAAAAACGCTTCCGTTTGAGTAGAGTGAAAGCTAAATTTTGATTAATTTATTATATTACATTTTTATACATTGATTTATTGTAGAAATAATATAGCCAACTGTTAATAATTCATTGAAATCAAATAAAATCCAGGTCGGTGAATCAGATAAAAGGATGGATGCTTGGGTGAAACATAATAATTCATCTGGCCAAAATAGGTTGAGAAGGCTGCAAAAGGTGAGATAAAGTGGCGGACACATGAAAAAGCCCTTAGATGGATATTTGGTAAAGAGAGCTTGCTCCCAATAACGATAAAGGCACTTCAATTTATAATAGATAATAAATAATTTGAGACAAAAACTTGATAATTTATATAAATTTAAGACACTAAGTACAGCTATAATATATTTGGAAATTTTTAAAATAATGGGGCCACTGTCATATCTTCAAACTAAAAAATTAGGTACTTTGTCAGCTTGAAAAATGAAAGAAATGCTAAATCTTCTATATCATCGATTATTACATCGATTCAAAATAAAGAAATAAAATGGCTGCTAATTTAAATGAAACATTTTCATCTCCCGGAGTATCGAGTACAAAATGCTCTGTAAAAAGATCGAATAGGACGAGGATATATATAGTGCAAATGCTAGATGAACGTCCTCAAGAATCGATTGACCTTTATAGGTTTGAACTATTTCGTCCTACAATTGATCAAATTATAAACAGCTTGTCGGAACTACTTTCTGCGAATTGAGAGCTTATCTAGAATTTGCAATATTTGCATCCAAGACATTTTGATGAAATAAATAGTAAAGGTATTTCTGAAAATGCCGAAAAACTGGCACAATTAGCATATATATTGAGTGTTAAATTTCATAATGATATATGTTCATTTGACAGTGTATTCAAAGATTTGGTAGCAGAATAAAAAGAAACGGACGATGATATCGCATGTACAAGTTTGGAGTCAAATGAAGAAGATGGAATATTACAATATGATAATAAATCAGAGTGTGATAATAAATGTAACAAGTGTTTAATATGCGTGTATGAAATTATTAAAAGATACAATATGCATACAAGTGACACTAATTTATTTTTGGCATATGAATACATTTTAACTTTATCATTTACGCAGGTTAATTGCGAGAAAGCATTTAGTAAATTAAAAATTATAAAAATAAGCTGAGAGCTACAAGAAAAATTGCGTTTTTAATGATGTCAGTTGAACGAGTACTATTAGCGTAGATTGAACTAGATTTTTCTGTATATTTGCGCAAAGGTTCAAAGTTAATGAGAGATTTTTTAACGTAAAAATTATATATTTTCTTAATTCTTTTATTGATATCTTATTAATATAATTTACAATATGATCGGTGCCTGATTTTATAAAAGTGCAGCAAATTTATTCTCTGTAATATCGTATAACTGCAATAATATTATATTTATAATTAATTGATTTAATATATTGAGTATGTATTTTTTTATATTTAACATGTGATGTATGATTTGATTTTATAGTGCAATATCGTTGTAAATTTAATATAAAATATATATGTGCAATGAATATTATTTTATATAGGTAATGAATATGATTTTAGATGTGCATTTTTTTAAACGATAATATATGATTATCGTATAATACTATTCTTTTTTTACTAAAAAGGTAAATCGTTTGAACTTATTTTCAAAAAATAAGAAGTAATAAAATCATCTAAATCAAAGAAGCTATTTAAGGGAACCCGGTCGAAGACCGGGCAAAAACGGGCCTAAGGCCCGCACGCCCTCATATAAATGAGACCGCTATAAAAAATGCCCCAAGGCCGTAGCGTCGCCAGTCCGCCCCTGCCGTAAAGCGATAGGTAGGTGTCTAAAGCAAATCGATCGTGGGATAGCATTCATACTGATATTTTTGATTTTGACAAGAATAACTATTTTTTGGTAGTAGATCCTTATTCATAGTAAATTGAATATGAGGAGGTCCATGGTTTAACTACACAAATTGTAATTAGTGTTACAAAATTTATGAGTAAGGTTCGATATAATGGAGACCATTTTGGATGAAGGTCCAGCTTTTTTAAGTGAAATTTAAACAATTTTGCAATACCTTTCAAACGTGACTTATGTTAGTGCCACTCTTATACTCCAAGGAACAAGCTCAGAGGATAGCATAAAGTATTATAAATCTCATATAGGTTACCAAAATGGTGTGTCACGTGATATGATCTAAGCTGTTTATATATAACAACACTTTAAAATGCATTATCATGAATGGATCTATGTTACGCAACAATATTTATTATAAGATAATAAATTTATTAAATAATTTTTTACATTAATTTCTATCCTACCTCTCTTCTACACCTCATATATACTTACCCCCTACCCCCTTGAAAAATTAAAAGAAAACTGCATCTACCCCTCTCCTCCACTAGCTAACTGATTGTATGCATTTTATCTAAAAATTTAATTGAGCCCTTTCCTCCACGCCCACTATCTAAAAAAATTCCCCTTCCCACCTTCAATAAGGTTGGAAGACTAATGAGAGTACTAATACATATGTTAAATCATTTGATAAACAATGACTAAATTTAAAAATTATCAAAATACCACATGCTTAGATTGTATTATCATATGCCAAAAAAATGATCACCCACCCCCTTCCCAATATTCTATTTTAAAATATTCTCCTATTTAAAAAAAGTAATAATTGATTATGTCTAAAAATATTATTTATTAAAAATACCGCCCTCTATATTAATATAATTGCCAATCCAACAGAATGCATTTTGCAGGCTTATGTATTCTTAAAATGTAAATATTTTAAAATATATATTCTATGTATGTGCCCTATAAATTAATTAAATTATTTTTAGACTACTATTTTTCCTTAAATAAGTTAATGCTTCTACGGTGATTGATGTTTTTTGATACTAAAATTTTATGGTTTATATTTTTATTTAAACAACTGCATCTTTTAATATTTTCCCAAATTTATGGGAAAAAAATGTTAGTTATTAAAGATTTTATTTCTTATATAATATCTAAATGTATAATAAAAAATATTTTTATTAATAATCTTAAATTTTTATTATAGGCTTTGTTATAGTTAATTATCATTTCCTTTTACTTGGTAACTATAAATTCCATATATTAACTAGCATGCTAATCAGTAGTGTCATTAGCAAGGGGAAAGTGAAGGGGCTTTAGCATCCGAAAAAATTTGAACAGCAATTTGAATTATTTATATAATACCTAAATAAAACAGTCATTTTGAAATTGTTAACTAAAAAAATATCCAGAAATTAAAATATTTTTTGACTTGAGATTGTAAAGACTACTGATGCTTACAATGTTTAAGATCTATTGAAGTGTCTATTTTTTATGTATTAAAAAAAATAATATACTCATAATTTTTTAATATCTTTGAGATAAATATAGTTGCATTTTAATATTTAATTCTTTTTATTTATTTTTTTAGTTCCTATGATACTCTATCATTCTACCATTACTCTATATATCCTTCACAATACCTCAAGTATGTATATTCAGAATATAAATATAAAAAATGAAGCATTTATTTTAATCAAATATAATTACCCTCATGCTTTCCATAAATCACAATCAATAAATATTACATGATAACATCACATAAAAAATCAAAACAATCCATTAATCCAAAACCCCCAAAATCACCTAAATCAGATGCAATAAATAAAAATAACCATGATTCCCAAAGTAGATCCAGGATACAATACCTAGCCAAAAAATTTGAAGAAGGTAAAGAAGCTGAGCTTTTATCCATCTCTCACTTATCTACAGATTTTGAAGAAGACTCACTATCTCCTAGTGTCTTGTCCTACCTAAAACCTTTACTCCATCCCCTCAGAGATCTCACTGATAATTGGAATGTTGACATATGTCAATACCTTGAATCCTATATACGTGATATTGAAAGTCCTGAGCAGGATATCACTCATTTTGATTATCTCTCACAAGTTGATGCCATTAACAATGATAGTGATAGTCATATCAATTCACCCATCGACCTAACGTTCACAGATTTAAGCTCAATTTCATCCAGCCCTGGCACTAGTAGTGTGAGTCCCTCTATTAATCATGTCAAGAGGAAAGCTCACCATCTTGAAAAATCCTTCAGCTTTGCTCAAGCTGCTCTAGTCCTCCAGGGTTCTTGTCTCATTTACTCAAAAAAAGTAGAATACTTATACACACTTATTTGTGATTTCTCCCGAATTCATGCCCAATACCACCACATTAACCCTGAAATTGCAAATCAAACCAAATCGGATGTGGAAACCCCTAAAAGTGGGAAGTCAAGTAAGCTCCTTAATATTGATGACCACCATCACCATAAAGCTACCACCTTCCGCCTCATTGAAGATAGCAATATTCAAAACTCACCTAGTACTACTTCAGCTGACCATGTTTTGTTTTCTTGTCCTATGCATTTGCCAGTGCTAATTTTACCACCACCTCTAACTTCATTGACCCCTACTCTAATAGAATCTATAGTCAATAAATCAACAGAAGATGGTATAGACATTACTAATAACAATTTGATGCAAACAATAATTGAAAGAATTCTGCATAATTATCTACACCCACAAAAAACTATTCATGATTCCATGAAAAAATTAGTCCAGTATGTCACAGATCTTGGTTTTGTTGATGAACCCAACACCTTACGAGATAATTTTCTCACACGAGGAACTGTTGATAACCCATCAGGGTGGCTCTTGCTACCAGAACACACCACTTCTAGTCACCATTCAATTTTGCCTACCAACCACAGTTATGGTAATGTCATAAAAACTCGACAAAACATTATTGAAAATTCTTTTATTCCTCCTTTGATTTCTCTGCCAAAGGTGACTGATAGCATTGAAGAAATATATTACACCACTTCAATATCCCCAAATATATTATTTGACACTATTCCAAAGATATTACCACAAGAGAACATTGAAGAAATTCTGGAATACTCTAACCCCCAGTTTGATACTTCACTCACTACATTATCATTACCACAAGAGAACATTGAAGAAATTCTGGAATACTCTAACCCCCAGTTTGATACTTCACTCACTACATTATCCCCTATAGAGAAAATTAAGGACAAATTTGAAGACATTTCTAACTCAAAACTCAAGGCTCCTCTTAGTCAATGGTCAACACGCAAGCGTAGTGTCAAATATCCAAAAACCCATTATAAAAGTAATAACCTTGGCGCCAAAAGAGTAAAATTGGTCAGAGGTACTGATGATGTTATTGAAAAATCTAACGATGAAACGACTATTGGTGGCAATGTCGATCACTTTAACATTGATGTTGATACGGAGGACATTTTAGAATTCTCTTCAGAAACCTTATTTCACAATTCATCTCAACCAGATATACTCCATTCCAAAATAGATGAAAACTTACAAATTAATATAGATGATAGATGCTCATCCTACCTCGACAAAGCAGCTCATCATCCATCAAATACCATAACTGATCATGACGCTAGCTATGAAAGCTGGGAGAGTTTTATTAAAAACGATGTTTTAGGTCCCGGTGGATGGAAATCTAAGAAACAAAAATCGATTTTTAATATAGTCACTGATCAGGAGAGCATTTTAAAATGCCTAGAGGGCGATATTTTGCCTTCAAAATGCTTGACAGATACATCCATTAACCAACCATTATTAGGTAAAAGCTGCTCACTCTTAAGTTTAATATTATTTGCTTTTAGGGTTGTTTAATTTAAATTTAAAAAAAAAAGAATTTTCTTTTGTTTTTTCCTTAGCTCTAACCTTTGGTTTTAAAGATTTAAATTTTCATTTACTTAATTAAGGTTTAAACGTTAAACCTGACAAGTCTGCCACTTTTCAACCTACGCTCCCTTTCCATTCCTTAATAAGGCGTATATCAACTGACAACTCTGACAAAAACCTTTCAAGCTTAATTCCCCGTTTATTTTTCGCATCCCTTATACTCGCTGATTCACACAACGTAGATATAATGAGCCATTCTGGGGATATTAATAAATTTAACATAACTCTTATAAACTCAGAAAGGAACTATGATAAAATCAAGAAAGGCATGGGAAATGCTACAACATTTAGCGATGTTTAAAATAGCTGTCTTTCTCATCTTTTATACATGATATGGGAAAAGGTTTACCTTTTTTAATAGCAATGCAAAATACTATAAATCTCTAATAATCAACAATCATTTTTTTTAGTATTAACCAACCCTTTTGTACAAGGTGATTTATATACTTTTTTACTTTCCTAAAGCGATAATATAATAAGATAAAATGTCCGAAATGATCCTTTCTTCCTATTTTTACAAAGGCGAAGCAAGAGCGAAATTTTTTGACCTGGCCTGTATGAAAAAAAATAATTTTTCTACCATTATAAAAACACGACTAAACCACGGTCGATGAGTAATGTATTGCAGACCTATACAAAGGATCTCATCTTAATTACGTTATCGTTTTACATGAGGTAAAATGTATTTTAAAAATGGCTTTAGACATAATAGGGCAACCTAAATATCAAATTTTGTTTATATTTATTTGTTTATAGCTAAACTTAATGTATTTAGAAGACAATCATATGAAATTTTTTTTAAATTGTACTCATATAAAACTATTAAAAATGTGTAAATTTTTTTTTAAAATATAAATCACATTTTATAATATATATTAAAAAATTATGTTTATTATTTATAAATAATTGTAAATTTATATCGCATAATTATGTTTAAAAAAAATTAATTATATTATTGATCTCAAATTATGAAAAACAAATATATATTCTTTTGAATTATGCCTCGTAATCATCCGGTTTCATAGTGTACAAGAGAAAAGTTAGGACATGTCTTAAACTAAGCGAAATGAACCATTTTACGAAATGATATTTCATAATAGATGTGACTTTAAGTGTATTTTTTATTTATTATTATTTGTGTTGACCAGCGAAATTAAATTCATTTGGCTTATTTTGAGCCAGGAATAATGAGAAGGGGGAAAAAAATAAAGTCAACCTAATCTTTGAATAAAATTGTCAGGAAAAATATATTATTTATATAACAATCATCATAAATGCATTGTTTAAAAATGTGATAATATATATTATTTAGATAAAAAAATTAATGAGCAACAATATAAAAGATAAAATTTAAAAAATAATTCATGATTAGAACCTAAAAATACGACTATTTTATTTAAAAAGAAGGTAATTGGTCAAGTTTATTTTGGCAGTCTTATTTCAAAAAAATAAATAGTTGAGATTCGTGGCTAAAAACTTAGCACGGTATATGAGCATATTAAAAAAAGGTATCGTCCCTCTAGTTCGTATTTTTTTTTATTAGGTGTTTTGTCGTTTTGCTAAAACTAAAATTTTTCCAATTGATTCCCAAAATATCCAATTGTTTCCCAAAATTTCCAAGTTAAAATAGATTTTTAAATATATTATTAATTTTTAAATATATTATTAGTTAATTTAATAGATTTTTAAATATAATGTAAGTTAATTTAATATTGATTTCCAAAATTTGTCCAATTGATTCTCAAAATTTTTCCAATATTTCCAATTGAATCCCCAAATTTTCAATATAGTTAATTTAATAGATTTTTTAATATATTAGTTATGAGAACCCTGTAAACGGGAGTAATTTGAAATAAAATTTCTCTTGAATACTCTATCCTATATATATTTTTTGATAAACGTCATTCAAATTTATAGGTTTATGAGAATATTTCATAGAAGTTTGGTAGAAATAATCGAAAATTTGTGATGCGAATTCGTAAAATTCTTTTTCCATTAGGTATATAGAATTCGATTTGAGGAGCTTTGTAGTGGAAAGGCTGGGTTCTTTTTTGTAGGACGTTTTGCGTTTGGAAATGGACAATAACGAAGCTATATAGTTATTTATTATATTAATATAGTTTTTGTAACACAGGTTTGAATCCGTTAGACTTTTTATAGATTGCGCCATTTATGTAATGTTTTAATAGTAAACGAGTTTTTCTTATTCTTTTATTTTGTAATGTAAAAAATCAAAACCAGCCTTTATTATTCAAATTAATCTCAAAATATATAATAATAATAAAAATAAACATTTTACAAAAAATAACAAAAAACAACAATTTAATACACATCAGTTTTTATAATGAATCTCCATTAAGAAAATGTCAATATTAAATTCACTTAATGGCTGTCACCCTTTTTATTTATTCTTTTAACATTGGTAATATCAAATCATCACTCATAATTTTTAGCAATATTAGCAAATAAAAATTTAACTTAAATATATTACTTATATTTTTCACTTTTTAAAACTTCGAATCTAAAAACATGGATTCACTAATAAATATAATTACCCTCTTGAAACATGGACATAGCGCCATCAAATACAGTTGGGAGAGAGTGTTCCAGCAATTCCACGAAATCTTTTAGACGTTCCAAAGTTCCGACTAGGAAATATTTGTTAACTAAGTTGAGTTTGGCCTGTTGCAAGGCTAACTCATTTCCAGGCTGGCTAAAAGGATATTATAAATTTAATAATAAAAAAATTTAGTTTGTGTCAAAAAAAGGTTAGAAAATCGTGAAATTAAAGGAATAGAAAGGAAAGAAAAAAATTAACACCGTGTTTATTTCAATGCCTCGATTTATCCGATTTTTATCAAGAATTTGATTAAAGTGTAAAATCTCTACCCCAATTAAGTAATATTTCAGCCAAAATCTTGATTTTTTTTATCCGTTTTGGTTAAATCGGTTGAATAGAAGTTTTTAACAATCCTAACTTAGACTTTTGATTCGTTTATTTAAAATGTGCAATACTGATCAGGTGGTGGCATGCCATTTTGGTTTTCCCATGTTAATAATCTATATTAACAATTTATAAGTTGAAAGAAATTTTTTTTAATTTCATTTATTATTCTTACCCTATGAAGCTAACTGTGAATGTAAGTTATAGGGGGAAAACCAGAATGGCGTGTCACCAGCTGATTTATATTCAACGGTACTTCAAAATGGATTGTCATTGATTCATTTGCAATAAATCTTGAATCATACTTCGATTAAATAGATTCGTCTAAAGTTCGACCTCAAATTATAAAATATAGCTGGAACCCAGAAGAAAAAAAAATTAAGTTTTGTCTCTTTTGCTATAAAAGAAAATAAAAGGTTAAGTGGAATAATATTTGGAATTAGAACAAGAGGATAGCGCAATGAGTGCTTTGGCAAAAAAATCGTGTGTTAAAAAATGAATACTTTAAAACAATATCTCGATTCAATGTTCAATGCTCGGGATCTCATAATAGAGACCTGCAAAATCAATTTTTTTTTCGGCGAGACCTCGCCCTCAGCTCAGTGACGATTTTTGTAGATCTTGCCCCGGACCGTGGCCCCCAAATTTTTTTAAAGCACATCATCGGCTGTGTATTATAATGGTCTATTTCAAGCAATAACTTTGATAATTTAATTTGTATTATCTCTTTTATTCTATTTAGTACAACAACAAAAATGGAATGTTTCCCACTTTTTTTATCATTTTTTTAAATATTCGATCTGGCCAAAAAGAGAAATATGAAGGATATATAACCATAATATTCTCTCGGACGGTCCTGTATTTTATTCATGTTACCAGTATTAGGATTCTATTTCATAGTTCTCTACATGAGGAGACATAACTATTTGGAGGAGGGTGGTGCATATTATCTTATTTTGTTATAAAATCGACAACATAGAGCTGGATATAATGTTGATGCATCTTAAGGAAATTTAACAGGGACTTTTCCCCTTTCATGTACTTAACGATAATCACTAAAATTACCAAGGAGGATAAAATGTGAAAAATATTGTCACTTAGATCAAAGAAATGGATATAATAGTTTTGGCAATTATAACCTCTAACTATTGATATTATAAACTGCTTGATTTTTACAAACGATTAATCCAACATTTTAACCAAAAAATATTATGCAAAAAAGAGAGAAAAAAAAATGTTGTCTTTAACAAAAAAAAATAGTTTGCACATTATAAAAATATTTTCTATAAAGAATATAAGTTTAAATAAATATTTATTTTAGATAAATTCGGATTGGTCTATTAATTATAATTTATTCTATGTTTGAATTGACCAATAAGAATTCTTTTAAACAAAATAATCAAATTGAACGCAATGGTAAATTTTATAGGTATATTTAATTATTTAAAATTTATTTGCAAACTGGCAAAATGAGAAGTGGCCGCAAAAGTAAGGTATCTGAATCCACATCATTTTAGCGTCGCACTCAGAGCCATTTTCAGCCACGCATTCATCCAAAGTCTAATTAAAAATTTAAGATTAGATTTTTCAGAGTATTTTTAACTGATTCTTCTTATTAACTAGTATACTTCATATTCCATATTATTTCTTTCTTTATATCTTTCTTGGCTCTTCTATAATTCATAACTTTTGTTTCTTGCAATTGCGCAGGCTTTAAGATTGAAATACTTTATATGACACATTTCAAATTTTAAGTTATAATTTCAAAATTCGAAAAGATTGTCTACAAAAATAATTGCTGCAAATCGAGGCATTTTTATAGTAAAAGCAACTAGCAAACACATTTAAAAAAAAATAAAAAACTGTTCATTCTGTCCTATTCTAAAACAAATAAGCAATGGCCAATAATGATATATATTACCAGATTGGTTATACATTCCTTAAATGAATTTAAAAGATACATAGGAGTCAGCTGTAGAGCTATTTTGTGGTTTGCACATCGAATAAATGGCATTAATGTGCATTCGTATAATGATAAATAAGACAATTAGTGCATATGTAAGCCATAAAATGGTGATACCTCTGACTCACATGTATATGCACTTATGATTAATGAATCGCCAATCTATTAGTATATATACATATGACATCTCCAGAGAGGTCTTTCGTTTTAATTATAGATAATTGAATTTTCGAGGCTCTACTAACTACGGGTCTCTAACTTTATACAATTATAATTCCTATATAATATTTAAATGATAACTTAAATATCTAATCAAAATTTAGATGCTCTATCATAAAAAAAATAAGTAGAATAATAGCAAAATCTACTTCTTAATCCTCATCTTAATAGGCGTTTTTTTCGCGCAATATATAAAGATTATTTTTGCTAATTTTAAAACTTATAATGAATTGCGGTATATTTTTTTTTGAAATGAGCATATGGTTTCATAAATTATCTATGATAGGCATTTTAAATTATAGATTTCTCCATTAATCCGTTAAATGGATTATACCGCAAGCCATGCAAGCTTGGAAAACCAAAATAAGCTTTTTATCGAGTGAAAAAATGCCTATGCCTTACAGATTTTTTAAAAAAAGATATGTTGCACTATAATGATAAAATACTTTATTGTCACCCATTTTATGGCGTTTCAAGTGGGGTCTATAATCGTCCCCGAACCTTAAAAAGTAGTAATAAGACACTAGTCGGTTAAAAGGTTCCCGCAAAACATTCACGTAAACGACGTTCCTAATGTCCCCTTTAGATCCTAATCTATTATATGATTTTAGAAATTAGAAAGAAAAATAATATATTATTCATTTTTTCCTAAAGGGTATTAGGGGTGCGTAACCGATATCGAATTGGATTGGGCATCGTTAATATTTTAAAAATATCGTTCCTTGAATTGTCCGATCCTATCAAAATGACGGATAAAAGTAATTTTCAATTTTGGATGTTTAAATGGAGATTTTTTTAAATAAAGACTTTTTTGAGAATGCTCAACCGGGATTTAATCAAATTTTATTCCTAAAATTCTAAATCATTTTCTTTTTTCCCTTTTGAGGTTCAACTTTTTTTTTTTACAATGTATTTATAAAAATCCAATTCGATATCTATGGGCGAAAAAATAATAATATTAGAAGATATACCATTATAATAAATATTGTCAGATTTTATGCGCAATCCACTAGTAAATCAAGATATAACATAAAAATTAAAAGTAATGAACGTTTATTAATTTGGCCAAGTATATAAAAATAACGAAATGTTTTTATAATTAAATACAAGCGAAAGCATAGGTTAATCTAAGAATTAACCAAATAGGATTGAATTTATCATATAATATTCTAAATTAAAATTAAATCAATTAAGCGTTCTTAGTTATAAAATAACATGCAAGTTGATGATGTCAAGTTAGCCGATAGGATGTTAAAGGGCTAAGTAAATCTTTTATGATTATGTCTAAAAAAATCTTTCATTCGGTTTTTTTAAATTTCGATTTCAATCGTTATTTTTAAGCCCGAAGTCTCATCCAGAAACATGTGAGGGTAGCAATTTTTCAATTCCGCTAAGCGTTCCTAAAATTGGATATATCTAGCACGTATTCAGCTGATCCTTGAACATTTCTTTTTTAGCAAACGATAAAAAGCACTTTTGATATCTCAAATCAAGATGAAGGGAGGAATTAAATTTTAATCATAAATAAAAACCTAACCAGTAAAATACGAATTTCATTAAAATGTATGCCAATGACACATAATACCTAAATAGAGTAGAGATTTGTTCATTAAAATGCATCTTTAAATGTCAAAATCAGCAGGTGTGATAAAATACTTATCTCAATCAAATATAGTTTTAAATAGATATTGCTGCACAACAATCATTAGTACAAGAACCATGCCATTTTTATTTCCCGCATTTTTTATCGAAATGGTTTACATAAAATTTTAATGCAAATTGTTTATTAGGGAATCAAAAATGGCGCGTCACCGGCTGATTTGTATTGATAAAATTTTAATGAATGCATCGTCATAGGTATTATATGTTATTGATGTAAGCATGCCGCTGAAAACTTTTCTGTAAAGCTCCCCTTCCTCCACACCCAATGATGCTAGAGACTCAAATTATAAATTACGCATGCGCAGCAAAAATAATTAGAATTTTTTTTGCCTATATTAAAATTTTAATCCCAATCAACAGATATTTGTAATAATTATTATTTCTTGTTTTTTTTATCTCAGGTCGCCTCCAAAACATCAAAAAACGAAAAATTTCATAAACCCTTTTTTTAAATATAGAAATATAAAAATATGGCTAAAACATATTTGTGAAATTTTTAAAACTTGCAAACTTTTCAATATTGAAATAACTAAAATGTCCATGATAAACGAAAGATTTGTCAGGTATCCAGCTGGTAATATTGTTTGCTAGCAGAATCTAGATTAGTTATTTAATTAAAAATACTTAGTTGAGAGAATGGTAATATTATAACAAAATATTGATATTGAAAAATTACTACATACTTAATTGGTGGTTATTAATATTTATTCTTACTTTCATGATGTTTGATGAAAAATTAATCGAGAATTTTAAATTTAATAAATTAAATTGACTTGATCCATAGGAGTTAATAGGTTTCGTTTGAATGATGTGTTCAAATAGACCACGTTGAAATTATTAACACGCGACATTTTGTATATAATATGCATCAAGAAAGTGCTACCAGTTTTGGGAATTCTATTATATACGATTATATAATGTTTATCTAATTATTTTTTTTTAAAAATATAAAGCTTGCTAATTTTGTTGGAATTTAAAAATTATTGAGATGGGAGGGGGATAATAATTTATAGAGCCAATTCAAGAAAGGAGTTTTATATGTGCAAAATATTGAAAAATATATATTTATATTATTATTATTCAAGAGGAACGAAGCAGAGCAAAAAAATATATATTGCGACCTTATATATTTTTCAAGAAAGTATATTATGATTAAAATTTTTATTTTAAGATAGTTTTCAGTTTTTTTAATGGATTAATATATTAAATCCTAATATTATAATTAGATTTTAAATATAAACTGGGTGGGTACAAGAGGTATTGTCAAAGACTCACCTTCTAAGCCAATGCCCCCCCCCCTCCCTCCATTTTCAATTATAATTATCAAGAAAGGGAATCTAAATAAAAACTACTCTCTTCTATTTAAATAAAAAAATTGCAACCCCCCCCCTCTATGAGAGAAATTAAAAATGTTATTGAAGATATTTTTTATAAGTAATTTTAGTTTTCATTTTAGAGTTAAATTTTTTCCTAAAAATTTTGAATTAGTATAATTTTAAAAATTTTAACTTTTCCATACTTTTTTAAATGATTTTTAAGTGACATATTATATATATTTTAATGGAAGGGTGGGGAGAGGGGAGGATGGGTAAGCGTAATTCTCCGGAAAAAAAACCAGAAAAAAATCCCCGAAAATAATTCCCCAGAAAAAAAATCCCAGGAAAAATAATCTCCTTGAAGATAATTCCCCGGAAAAAAAATCCTTGGAAAATAATTACCCGGAAAAATATTCCCCTGGGAAAAATTCCCATAAAAAATTATTCCCCGGAAATAAATTCCCCATTTTTTAGATTTTAAATTAAATATGGGGGAAAATTAATCCCCGGAAAAAAATTCCCGAATAATTTTTTTAAATTATCAAAAAATAATCCCGCCGCTAAAATAACGAAAATATTTCTAAAAAATTATATTAGTATTTTCTGAACGTTGAGAGTATTTCTTTTTTAATTCCAAAAGGGCAATCTTTAAATGAGAATTGGTAAATCGGTTAGTAGCTTTTATATTTTATAATTTAGTAGATAGCATAAAAAGTATAGATTTGTGACGATAGATTTTTATAGAAATATATGAAAATTATGAAAGAGGTTTTACAATTTAAAATTGAAGAGAAAAATGTGAAAGCAAATTTTTCCCTAGAAAGAGAAAGGTTATTTCCATAATCCACTTTTCATCTAGACTTGAATAGATATTATGAAAACAGGTAATTAAACCACATTATATTTACCATGAAGAGGGGGTGGGGGGGAGGGTTATTTCTAACACGCCACTAAGGTTAAAATAAATATAACATTAAAATGAATATTATGACACTATTCTGTTTAGTTCGTTTATATCAGTTTGAATCCCGGACAAAAATAACATAATGGAATTTTTTTTAATATACTATTTATTCTAAATAATATTTGTTTATTTTTATAAATATTATAATTTTAAATATATTTAATTCATCAAAGAAAACATGAGGGACTATAATCTTAAAATATAAACTTTTTTATTTGAAAGTTTCTAACTCAGGAAATGTTATTATTACATAATCCCAGTTAGTTCCCTGATATTATTATTATTTATAAGGTTGAAAGGAAAGTTATGCTCAAGAATAAATAAACTTATATATTTGGGTGTTATATTCTTTGTAATTTTGAAACAAACGATTTTCATTTAGTTTTTTTATTACTTTTTATAAAATTTTCTTTTACTATTTTAAACAATTTTGATAATTTTAATAAATTTTTATGTTTATTTTTCCGTTAAATAAGCATGCTAAAATTTTTCATGAGGGCTATTCCTACAATTATCATAAAACTACGAAATATTTTAAAAGATACAAATGTACATTATATAATGCTGAAAAATGCCCAGTTATTTTGAAATATTACAATGAAAATGACTATACATTGGAAAATACGCCTCATATTCATCCTATAAACCCACATGAATATCAAATTGAAAATGCTATAAGAACGATGAAAAGAAAAGCCTCTAAAACAAATCAAAATACTTGCTAAATATACGCATAGGAAATGCTGTCTCCCGAATCTAGAAAAAGACTTCTGGATGAAGATAGTATCAAGAGGACACTTAGAAATCACAAAATAAAAAGGTTTCCTCCTATTCCGGCCACATTAGAAGAATTAAGCATTTCAGGTTAAATCATATTTATGTCTAAAAAACTTTTTAAATGAAAATATCTTTTAATATTAGAGGATTGGGCTACAACCGGATCTCCCACGAATGAGAGATTTCTTTTGCATGATAATGGCAGAGATTACTAATGAACGAATAATTATATTTGCCACATATTATATGCTTAAAATGTTAGCCGAAACGAAAACTTGGTATATAGACGGTAATTTTAAATTGACTCCTCATTTATTTTTGCAGCTATATGTAATTAGAATACCTTTTAAAACACTGTTTATTACAGCGGAATATTTTTTGTTACAAAGAAAAACGTACACAACGTATAAAGAAATTTTTAATATTTTACTCGAAAAAGCCCAAGAACGGAATTTAGTCATAGATCCGATAACAATTTATATGGATTTTGAAAAGGCCGCAATCAATGCCGTCGAAAATACTCTAGGTTTCTTATTACGATTTAATTACATCTATATACTATCGAAATATGTTAGGGCCTTGATTTTAAAATGTATTTTGGACCGTGGACCTTGAAATTTTTTTTAATTCTATTTTCATTTTTCTGTTGTTTTTAGGAATATTTTAAACGGTTTTTTTATGAGTGTAGGATGAACGCACCCATCTCTAGTAATTAATGAAAATTGATAAAGACATAAATATTAAATAAAACCTATACAATAATTTTAATCTCTATTTTTTCAACTTTTAGGTAGAGATATCATCATCCAAGGATGTTTTTATCATCTAACTCAATCCACTCATAGGAAAATTCAAGAATTGGGCTTAGAATGATCATATCGGAATGATCCAACGTTATGTTTATTTGCTGCTAGGATCGATGGATTAGCATTCTTACCTATACACGATGTCAAACGAGGTATGGAGTATTTAAAAACCATTGTATCGGATGAAAAGAAAGAATTATTGAAATATTTTGATAAAAATTATGTGAATGGAGAATTGAGATATGGGAGAAACTCTCAAAGGCAAGTAGAGCCATTGTTCACACCTGAAACATGGAATGTGTTCAACGTTACGATTGCTGGGGAAAATCGAACAAACAATGTATGGGAAGGATAGAATAATCGATTTCAGCATATTATAGGCCACAAAAAACCTAAGATATGGAACTAATCGAAAAAATGTATATCATTTAATAAAATTATAATTATTTCTTTTCTGTAAATTTTAAAAAAAATTCATAAGCAAAATAATAATTGTTAGATTCATAAAATATAATACTCACTGCTGATAATCACCTCTGGATGTATTTTGATTAAAATGGTCAGTATTTTTCATCACTTTTGGCAGTATTTATAAAATTGGGCAGTAAAAATATAATTTTGCAAGTTTTATATTGATTTTGTATTCAGTCAGTTAAATTCTTAAAGTAGGTAAATACTTCAGTAAAATAATTTTTTTCAAATAGAAGGGATCAGATTAAATTGCAATTCGCCACAGAATTTATAATTATATTATTTAATAGCTTATCCTTATAAAAACAAAAAAGGGCGCTATTTAAGAGTTAGTAAATTGTGAAAAGCCTCTTATCTCCAACTGATATTTAAATTTTTAATATATTTCTAAAAAAAATGATTAAAATTTGTGTATTTTTTAAAAGTAAAAATTTGATTTTCAATAAATATCTAAAAGTTGATGAAAATGTGTAAAGGTGAACTAGATTTATTTAACTTTCGTTTTATTATTTAAAACCTCAAATCCTCGAAGGAATTTGACTATAAAAAACATTTCTATTTAATTAATAGTGCAAAGCAGATCCGGGTCAAAAAATGATATGAATTTATGCCGGGCCAAAATAAAAAATCAGAGCTGGCCATTATCATTACTTAACTTATAATAATATTTAGCTTAATATTACAGAGACTAGGTAATTTTTGAATTTATAAATCCGGGCCAAAATAAAAAATCTGGGCTGGCCATAATATTTTGCATAATATCAGAGAGAATAGATATCCAATTCGTTTATTTTATAAATATTGCTTTGTTAATTTTCACTAAACCTGGGTTCGGGATAAGTTCATAACATTATACATTATATTTATTACTATTAATTAATAAATTAAGTTTTTGTTAGGTTTAATATTAATCACAAGTACTATTTTATTTTGAAAATTTTTATTTGGAAGAATTTTATAGGAATTTTTGACGATTTTCTCAAAATATTTTAGGGATTTTTTTCCGGGGATATTTTTTCTAATATTGTTAATTTTATAAAAATAATTGTATATTTTATAGGATTTAAAAAATGGGGAATTTTTTTCCGAGGAATTATTTTCTTTGGGAATTTTTTTCCGGGGAATTATTTTCCAAGGGAATTTTTTTCCGGAGAATTATTTACCTGGGAATTTTTTTCCAGGGAATTATTTTCCTGGGGATTTTTTTTCCGGGGAATTTTTTTTCCGGGGAATTATTTCCTAGATTCGGGAGCATGATACAAATATTAGCAAATTTCCAAAAATGGGAATGTTTCCATAATGCTCCATGGTGGGTTATGCCTATGAAATACGCTTTCAAAATTGAGTTTTGATACTAAGTTTAATCATAAATAATCAGAGTTGCTAAAAGATACTTTTAAATGGATCTAGATAGATACATTGTCGCAAAAACGTATATAGATACAGATATAATTTTTACTATACTTTATGTAAGGTGTGCATGATTAATTTATTTCATTTGCTAACATTAAAATTTTGAAGTGGGCAAAAAAATTTATTGAGGTTATATCAAATCTGTATACA